ACCCACCCACACCCACACCCTTGTTCATGTGAATATAATATATACGGCATTAATTTGAGCAGCACGTCTATGTTCAATTGCTGAAGATTTTGATATGGAAGGATTAAGTATAGAGATGATATTATTAGTCAATGGTTATCCACCAAAATTTGTACAACGACACATGAAAAGTTTCTTTTTGAAATATGATGCTATGAATGTATGGACTGAATTAAATAGTGAAGCATATGAACAACTACATCATAAATTACTTTACAAAGAAACAAGAAGAGAAATTGAAACAAAAATCCAAGGTAAAGATAATTTAATTCAGAAAAAGAAAAAATATGAGCATAAGGATCAAATTTATCTTCATTATACATTCGAAAATGGACCATTATCAAATTTCAAAAAAGAATATCGTCGAATATGGGAAAAATACTATCTTTATCCCGGATCACGTTTAAAAAATACACGACTCATTCTTGGTACAATATTAAATCGTACTTTACAAAGTCTTCTGATACGCAAAAAGCCTAAACGAGATATGCTGACGAAAATGCAACCAACTACAGAAACAGCTCGTAGAATAATTAACGAAAGATTTACTCATTGACACATCTTTTTTTTGTGTATTAATCGAATCTGTGAAAAGTGTTCCTTTCTTGTTTGAACTCTTGTTTCTCAGTTTTGTTGTAAACATAGGATATTTTTGTATTTTCATTAGATTGAGTTATGTGATAAACATTGTCTTTCTTCATGTTTATTTTTCTCTTCCTTATGTACAACACGCCGATTATGGCAATTTCTTTCATTTTTCATTACTAAAACCACCATATGTAACAATTAAACTATGAACTACAATGTTCTTGCAGCTCATATTTGTTTATTTTTCTTGTTTATTTTCTTCCTTGCTAAATGTTTACCTACAACTTTGAAATAATTCACTGTATTATATATTCTAGATATATTCTACACAATAATATGTCGACAAGCCATAACCATCAAGACACAACAGCACTATTCGATAAATCATTGTAAGTATTTGACTTTGATTAAAAAAAAACGAATCCCCAAAATGTGCCTATTTTCTCTTTCCTATTTCCTAAGAACTAATACCAACCAATGTCAAGACAATCATACTCCATTACAACCAACAGATGGAAGCAAAGAAAATGATTCGATTATTAACCAAATATCAGCTACCGAAATCGTCATGACAACTCAATCAGCAGTCGAACTTAGTGCAACCAACAACATCGCACCTCAACTTGCATTAATGCCAATCCATCAGCGAAATAATATTTCACAAACACGGTAACCAGCCCAACAGACCCGACAACAACAGCAACACCAACGAATACAATAATCTTATACGAGAACGCCATGGCAACAAGGAGGACATCACAGACCAGGACGTCAACGCTTACAAAAAGGCCAAGAACAACAACAACGACAGCATCTATATCAGGTACAAAGACAACAACAGCGACGGCGAGAAAGACGCCAACAACGTTTTCTTCAATGGCAAGAAAGACTATCGCAACGAGAATACGAACTAGAATATAGACGACGCCAACAAGAGTATGTCGATAGATGGCTTCATCTAGATCTATATGATATACTTATAATGGAAGAAACTCAAGATATCTTACTTGAAGCATACGACTGGGAAAAGATGGATGAACCGTACAAGTGGGAACAAGAACAAGTACAAGAATTCGAGCAATTCGCTTCGATGGAACAATAACTTCTCATACAAGATGATATTGAACAAACAGAAAACATCAATACTATTGCACGAATTCAAGAAGAAGAACAAACCGACCGTAATCTACAACAACTAAAAAGCAAAGAATTATGGGAACAACTTCACTTCCTCAATCTACAGCTACGTGAACCATAAAGTACATTAATATTGCCAACCATTTCTTTTCATTAAGAACATGTATATAAATATAAGGATCTTGTACACAATAAACTATAAATTGAGAAACCATTTTTCCTTTCAAAAAAACAGAAATACTTCTCCATTTTTATTTCAGATACAACTAACATATCTACGCCAAACCAGATTCACCAGAAGGAAATCTTATCAACAATACAATAAAATGGCCGAAAACTGACCAACAACCAAATACAAACAAGACACAACAATATCCGAGTAAGCCCACATCATCATTATTGATACCTTCTACATCTTCTGAAACATATTCGGACAATGATAGTGCAAAATAAGAAACATATTTTCTACCGATTTTAAACCAAAAATTTTAATTCATCCAGTAATCAAAACACGCGTCTCCCGAGCATTTGATTGACTTTATACTTAAAATCCTTCTCACAACACACCAAAATCTTGGAGAATCTCTTCTACATTTTATTGGAAGTTTTTATTCGAAAACTTTTAATATTTGTTTTATATGATTATTATTAGCTTGGAAGTTATACGTATGTAACTTTTAACTTTAATTATTCATAGTAGGAGAAGTTATATTTATAATAACATCTTTCAATCAAATTAAGCAATTGATAAGTTTAAGCTTATAGCACTTATCGAAACCGGTCTTGCTAGCTACATGATTGACACTATCTTTCAAACACACCCACCCACACCCCACACCCACACTTGAAACTTGAAGAAGGAGTTTTCATTTGAATTCAAGTTTCAAGTTTGACACTACTGACTCACACCTCACACCCTACACCATTTTTGCAATGGACATCATTCGATTCGCTCTATCTAATGCGTTTCATTACATTATCGACTTGAAGCCTACTTACAGATACCTGAATTCGATGTATAAAGTCTTATTCATACTTCTCCCACTATATTAAACTTCTCAATAGATAGATGCTGTCGACAAATATTTTTTATTTTTTTTGAGATATGTGACACTCACTGAAAGATAAGGGTAGTTGAGATAAAAAGTCTTATTCATGCTTCGCTGCTATATCAAACTTCCTTAATCATACATGCTGTCAGGAAAAAAGGTTTTTTTCATTTTTTTGACGTATACGAAACTCACTTACGCATAAGGGATGTCGA